GAGGGCACTGATCGTGGTCGTGTTTTGTTAGCGTCACGTACTGCTAAATGTGATCTGCAAATGATGCAGCCATTTTGAGCGCATCTCTTGTTTCACGCAGTCACCACCAAAATACCAGTGAGGCTACAACAAGCGCATATGTTTGTTTTTTTTTGCGAGACCCAACACTTGCGTTGGAACATTTTCATGTTTGAGTTTATCTGCAAATATAGACAGATGTTTTGCAACTGAGTTACAGTGTCGAAGATTTCCTCCATTAGAGCTGTGTTATCAGGAGCATAAATGCGGCTTCATGGTGCGTATTTGTCACAGTGCTAAAATAGCCTTTCTTCGCCAAATGCGGTCACGTTTACTCGCGTTTGAAGCTCATTGCCGCTTTTCCGCTCTGATTTCTAGATTTCTCAACTCATCAGCGCATTCTCGAAAAGCTCTGATTTGTACCACGAATATTGTCCCTAAAAACAAAATAATGCAACATGTTTTTCTATATTTCTGTATGATGGCCTTCGGTAGTCTATTTACGAGATTTTAAGAAAAATCGAAGATGGTGTTTTTTTATTATTCAAATTTCACTGGAGTACACTTTTGCCAATATGAGAACTTTGAGGCAATATATAAAAAATTACATTTGCCCTATGGCAACAATAATTTATGTACCTAATGAACACACTATATCCTTAAAATGTGTCAAGTTTGAAAATGCTGCTTGCATTACTTTCGGAGGAAAAAAAAAGGGGAATACGTAACTTATTTTAAACTGTCGCAAAATTAGACATTTTTAAAAGCTATTTTCTTGAGGTCTATAAACTTGAAACCGTATGAATTCATTCTTCATTAGACATGCATTTCAGGTAAAAAATATCTTCTTTGAAACAAAAATGTTTGTCTTGTTATAGCATCTGCAATTTTCGAAAATGACAGGTGACGAAGTTGGTGCCTGCGTGTTGGTGAAGTTTGATATTTTTTTCTCGTAAATTATGCGGTTAATAATTAAATGAAGTTGACTTTCAGGCTACCTCAATGAAAAATACTCAATGAAATCTGAAATATCAACTTTTGGACCCATGTTGATCTCTCGTGGAATCACCCACCTGCTATTTACCAATGAGAAATTCAGTAGTAGAGCAATTGTTGTGGAGTCTGGAATTTCTGATTATAATTTAATATTGTTTAACTGGACTAAAGAGGCTCCTGGATATATGCAAACTTATTCTTTGACTGTTATTAGATATTGTAATAAGGCTAATAGTACAGCCAATATTTATTATTTGGACACACACCTTGCCTGTGACAGTCATGATGTTCAGCATTTGTGGCAAATGTTTCGCTCAACTTCATTTCTCATTTCAGCAAATTGATAAGTGGTGCTCAAATTCTTGGATCACTAGGTCCATAATGTAGAAAATGGATGGATGATAGATGGATGGAAAACTTATAGAGTCCTGAAGAATTCCACTCCTTTTATTAGGAGTAGGATCACAGGCCGCTACCACGGGGAGACCTAGCCTCACCGCCTCATCGTGGGCCTTCTGGACGGCCTTGAGTTGTTGTATGATGACCGGACTCGTGAGCATTATGTGAAAGGCATTTTCGGAAAATTCCTAATGAACAGTAAAGCGGCTCAGAAGACAGCTTAAGACTTCTATGCCGCAAATCAATGAACTAAAAGAATAACTGCTGAAAGAGGTTAGACAGGCAAGAAATAATTTTTTCAACAATACCTTGGCTGAGTTTATTAAGACTGACCCTCCTAAATTTTGGCGCCACATAACTGAAGCTAATGAGGAGACACAGAAACTTAAAGTGCATGATTGAATTGTACAAAACCAATGGAAAAGGCAGGCATTTTCAATCGATATTTCAGACAGTATTTTCTGAGTTAGATATTGTTGTATTGTATTGTTTATTTTTTTTTTTGCAACAAAAGAGGTTGCCCTGGGGCTATAGCAAAAGGCAACATTTAAAGTCGCTTGACTAGGCCCCTTGCCCCAAAATAGATGATGAATACGATTATCAGGGTGCCAAGACAGAACCAGAGAAAACACTAGTAATAACTCAAGATGGCATCACCGTCATTGAGTATTAATAAGTCTGCTGGCTCAAACGGTATTCCTAACACATTTCTTAGACCCTATGCTCAGCGAATTTCTGGATTTTTAACATGTTTAACCTATCAATAACCACAAGTATCATCCCAAGTGATTGGCGCATTGCACGTGTTACACCCATTCACAAGAAAGGTCACCAGCTTTCAGTGAATAGTTACCGCCCTGTCTAAATCATCAGCACGTGTTGCAAATTGTTGCAGTACGCTGTTGCATATTACATTCAAAAATTTCTAACTGATCGAGATCTATTGTCATCACATCAACACGGTTTCAGAAAATCAATGTCTACAGTTACTAGGTTTGTTTCTAGTGTACACGAGATCTTGGCTGTATTTGATCTATCTGGGCAGGTTAAATTCTATTTTTAGATTTTTGGAAGGCCTTTGAGAAAATACCACATGGTAAGCTATTGTATAAGTTAGAACGCATTGGCCGGCCGTCCTTCATTGTTAAATGGTTCAGTGCATATCTCTACAATAGAAAACAATTTGTAGAAATGATTCCTCATCCCGTGTGCTTCCTGTTACCTCAGGAGTGCCTCAAGGTAGTGTTTTAGGCACTTTATTATTTCTTATTTATGTAAATGATCTGGTTTAAGTGGTTCCCGGTACTGTATCAATACCTTTGTTTGGTGATGATTGTGTTGTTTTCAAGAAAATCTGACTTGCAAATGACCACATCATAATACAAAACAGTGTATCTGCGATTAGAGATTGATGTAAGTGTTGGTAACGGTTTTAGACTCGCACATAACAGCGCTACTCCATGTAACTATGAAAAACTAGTCAATTCTTTCGTATATTCAATTAATAACAGTTAGGTCTTGGAAGTTAATAAGGTGGCGTTACACTAACTAATAAGTTCACATGGTCAGAACATATATCTGATATTTGTGCAGCCTGTCTCTGGAAACTGTGGCTTCCTAAAAGAAATTTAGGAATGCGCCCAGTAGCATAAAGCTTCTAGCTTATAATGCCTGCATAAGGTCTAAATTGGAGTACGGATCGATTGTGTGGGTTCTGCATTCTGAAAAAGATATTTTGCAACTAGAAAATGTTCAGTGTAAAGCATTGAGATTTATATTTGGAAAATACAAATATATAGATTTCTTTACACAGTTGATAAAGCTTGATAACATACTAATGCTGGAAGCCCGGAAAAAAGTTAACCGCCTTTCATTCCTTCACAACTGCATTGCAGGTAAAACCAATTTAACTCTCCCAGCATCTGTTGAGTATCTTAGTAAAAGAACAACACAGCACGACCACAAACATTCGTTTGCACCTATCTTCGCTCACAGAGAAGCATTTCAATACAGTTACTTCCCTGGTACGGTCGCGGATAAGCATTCGTTGCCAAATAGTATATTCAGCTCAAATGACTTCACTAGCGATATGCAATGCCATGTTCTAAATAAAGGGTTAGCACTCTTCATTGTTACCGTTTGTACTTGTACGTACCGCATGTTTTGATGGCCCTATCTTTCAATGATTGTCGTACTAGTTTTACAGTTTGTTTTGTTTCTTGTGTTCACTCATTGTTTGTATATTTAGTTTTTGCATTGTACGTGAAGCCCAGCCTGCTTGAGCCAAATGTTGGCTTGCGATATTTCAAATAAATGAATAAACTAAAGTAATGTGCAACGGTCTCAGCAGCAAACAGCACCTTGCGATAGGTGGAGAGACGTTAGAAGTTGTAAACGAATATGTCTACTTAGGATAGTTGGTAACTTCGGAGCTGAACCATGCGAGTGAAATAACTAGAAAAATCACATTTGACAATCATTCTCAAATCATGAATGGTAATCTGTCACTAACCCTCAAGAGGAAGGCATATAAAAGCTGCATCTTGCCGGTAGTTACCTACAGAACAGAAACCTGGAGGCTTACAACGAGGGTTCAGCTGAGATTGAGGACGACGCAGCGAGCAATGGAAAAGAAAATGATAGGTTTAACCTTAAGAGACAAGGAGAGAGCAGAGTGGATCAGGGAGGGAACACAGCAAGGTTAAGGATATCATAGTTGAAACCAAGAAGAAATGGCCAGGCATGTAGCATGTAAGCAGGATAATCACTGGTCATTATGGGTAACTGACCGGATCCCCAGAGAAGGCAAATGGGAGACAGAAAGATAGGTGGGCCAATGAGAAGAAAAAGTGGCAGCAGAAAGCACCATACTGGTTTCATTGGTGGATCATGGGAGAGGCATTCGCGCTGCAGGAGACGTATTCAGACTTATGATGATGATATTTACCAATGTTTATTATGTTTTATTATTTGTAACTGCATGTTGTTTAGAATTTGAACTCGCCTTTCTTTAATCATTTTGTTAAATAGCATTTGACTATATAGCATTTGACTATCATGTGTGTTTCATCTCCCAAGCACTTGTTTCTTCATTGTCAACAATTTCATCTTTATATAATTATTCCTCTGCATATTTGAACCTTCATACATTTTGTGAAACCATTTTACTGAGTTGCCTTTTTAAGACCTGTAAGGTGTTTTGAGTAAAAAATAAACAAATATGTATATAGTACTAGCTTTACTTTTTTTTTTTAAGATGACGCCTGCTGTCTGATATTGTTGGAAACTTTGGTTGTGGAATGAAACAAAGCATTCAGAGTCTTCGCAATGCTTGAGCAATGTGTATGAGTTCTTTTCAGCAGGAGTTCAATTTCTTTTTTTCTTCCAATACAGAATCTCTAAGGTGCCCTGAAAAAGTTTTCATGTGTGTGCTGCTCAAGCATTCGACAAATTTTGCACATCCGCTTGTGTCTATTTTCTTTGTCTTATTTCTGCGTAGGAGTAGAAAATATTTGATGGACGTTGCTTTGCCTGCTGTAGGTTATCATGGCTTTCCACATGGTACATGTCAGTTTTTCTGAATGCAGGGAGAAAGGTGCAATGGCCTGGCATTGCTATTTTCCTCCAAAACTCCTTCATCTTTCTTGGGTAAGCATGAACACTTTGTCGCCCTCTTGGCATAATCACATGTAGCAATATTATTGAATTCAAGCTAAGTTCTTGGATGACCAACTAGCCCGATACTGATTTGCGTGCTCTTGATACTAAAAGCAGACATTACTGTGCTGGCTAGGGACACAACCATGTATGAAAAATTGAAATAGGAAGCAAGCAAAATAAAAGAAATCATCTTCCTGTAAAGGGAACTCTGAGTAGTGTGCAAAGCAGACGTAGGTCGACTTATAAAGAGGTGCTCTTTAGTCATCACCGTAGACGTTTAGACTCCGATTTGCGTGTAAAAAGTTGTTGCTGTGGAGCCTCTCGATATACATATGTACATGAATGTCAGTAAATTAGTATGCCGTGGTTCTGCTGTAATTAAACTGATTTTCAAATTGTATTTGCAGCTATTTTCCCAACAGTGTTTTTGTCATATAAATGCTCCTACAGTAGCAAACGTTGGCCTGGACAGCGGTCACATTTTGACGTGACAACACTAAAGAGCTCGTTTTGTTGAAAATCTGGTGTTGGTGGTGCCGGCAGTGTTGGCATCAGCATCTCCAGTTCAGAACAAATAGGCAGCACTGTGTGTGAGAGAAAATTTGAGGTGTTTGTTATAAGGATAGCAGCTCTTGAACGAAGGCTGGCTAGCTATTAAGAAGGCATTTGTCTGCGTACACGTGAGTGCATGTGTGCATGCATGTGTACATGCTGGTGCGTGTGTGCACATGTGTGTGCATATTGCTGTCACCTTTTGGTTCCTTAACAAATTGGATGAAAGAAAACGTATTTGAGAAAACTTTCAACAGTTGTATTAAAAACATGCATACTATTAAGAACATCAGTCGGCACGCGACCCGTGCCAGTCTTGCTGATAGCTTCTTGCAGATGCCTCTAATACGGCCTCTGACAACGTGAACTGCTTGGTATGGTGTGAAAAACTTCATTGGGCTGTGAAGTTCTAATTTGGGTTAACACGGACTGCACCCATGTCGGGAACTGTCGGGCCAATTCCATCAGTCATACTTTGCACCATTTTAATAAAACATGCAAACATCAACTTGATGAAGTGGTTATAAATGTTAACACCATTAATGTTAATAAATGATATAGTGTCGTAAGAACCGTGGTTGGATGTGTGCCTGCAATGTTGCAAGATATTGACGAAGTGCTAGAGACATCCGAAAAACAAAAAAATTCTGGCTTGACCACATCAAGCATGGCAAATTATAACTACATGAATATAGTGAGCGTAAAAAGAACATGACTGCATCACAGAAAGAGTATGTAGAATCATTTTAATTCACTGGTTATTCTACAAAGTTTAATTTTTCATGGTCCAAATGGGGGGGGGGGTGGCATAGATGAGGCAGCTCAAAAAAAGTTTCATGTGAATTTAAAGCATGAAATTACTTTTCCAGCATGAAGAACTGAGTCATGAAGAACTGAGTCGGTAGCGCATGGGACTACGCTATCAGTGTCGTGTTGAGAAGCATCCTCCTCTCTACGTGGAGGAGCCTGTCGCTGCTGAAGTCGAAGCTCTGCCTTTTGCATGCTGTTGATTGATCATCGCCATGCTGAAGAGTCACTGCCTTCACACTCAATAAATTTGGCGTACTTTCAGCGGTCGTGTCAGGCACGTCGGATGCAGTTGAACCTTTTGGCCCTCGTCGCTTGCGAAAAGTCGCCAATAGACAGCTGTTTTTGCAGAGTTTTTCTGGTTCTTTCACTGCACGGTCGGATATCTTTGCAGCTTGGTAAAATGGCAGGCACAACATCTGAAGTGAGCATAAATTTTTTGGTGTGTGCAACAGGACGTTTTCCTTGTATTCTGCATGATATGTGCCAGAGACAGCCTTTTTTGGGAAATGCTTCGTGCGCATATGGTAAGCAAGCTGCAAGGCTCTGTCAGCTCTCGGAATTGCCCATCGCCATTTATTCAAGCACTCTGATTCACCCGGAGCCTTGAAAAGCGACACACACTCCTTACAAGTCCTATGCCTCGACCTGCAGTTCGGGACAAAACACTACTTGCCGATTTCGAGATGTAGCCAGCGACAAAGCTGCCAAATGTACTTGTAGTCATATGCAGCGTCGATGTATATGTGCACTGAATCACAAAGTATGAATCAGCATAGAAAATGCACTAGCAGGGCTTACAGGTGCAGGGTAACACTGCGGCGACTGCATTTTCAATAAAGGCGGAAATGCTGTAGGCCCGTGTGCTCAGATTTGGGTGCACATTAAAGAACACTAGGTGGTCGAAATTTCCCGAGCCCTTTACTACGGCGTCTCTCATAATCAAATGGTGGTTTTGGGATGTTAAACCCCACATATCAATCAATCAATCAAAGCAGGGCAACACATTTCTGAATCGAAGAATCTCATGCACACAAAGCTTCCAGGAAGGTCTTGCTTTGCGTGCTAATTTCAGAATGAGTGCTGCGTGAATTTCTGACCCGCCATACTGTAGCGGCATTTGAACTTGCGCGACAAAAGCTACTCGTGGCTCAAAGTCGTCAGTGAACACACTGTGCCCGTGCCCTCTCATATCACGGAGCGGCGAGTGTCAGCACCTAACTTATTCTTGCACCTGCCACCTCACCGTCGTCGCCGCCCGTTTGAGCTAGATCAACTTGATCGTCATGAGTGCAGCCAGCACGGCCAAGATGAATGAAGGTTCGTGACTTCAGTGTGATCAAGAATCCTTGAAGCTGGCATAGCACTTCCATGTTGAGCTAAGCTGCAAAAGATAGAATAAAGATGTAAGGGTTTTATGCTTCCACCACCGCTGTCGCTGCCTGTGCGAACAGCATCTAGGACACCAGTGCCCTACCGCAGAACTGGCTCGTTGCTGTGGTGACTCCTGTGTTGAAACCACAGAAGCCTGCCATATTCCTATATTCATACAGACTGGTGTATCTTGCCTCTGCCACCTGCAAGGCAAGCGGTTGGCACTAGCTCGAATAGAGTGGATAGCGGCCGAACTGCAATACTTTTTTGAGCAGCAAACTGGCTTCAGGCCTCATCGCTGCACAGCTTACTCCATATCCGATGTGGATGCTACCCTTGAGGATGCGAAGGCCAAGAGAGATGTGGCCATGCTGGTGCCCTTGGACGTCTGGAGTGCCTTTGACGGACCTTCCTATGCTGTCATTGAAGCCTGTTTGGACGAGCTCGGCCTGAACGGTTGTCTCATAAGATTCATTTGAGCCTTCCTGGCCGAGAGAACCTACTTTTCGGGTGCATGTTAGACAAGAGCTAAGTACTGCGAGGAATGTCATGATTGGTATCCTACAGGGATGGGTGCTAAGCCCATTCCTGTTTAATCTGGCTGCCGTGGGCCTTCCCACATCGCTCCCTGTGGACTCCCAGTTAGAGCACAGCACGGGCCCAGGCCGGGCTCGGGCCTCGGAGCTTCGGGCCTGGGTCGGGCCCGGGCCTGAGTCAGGCCCAGATAAAGCCCGGGTCTCATACGCATCGGTATATTGTCGTGGGTATACTGTTTTACTTTGTTTTGTGGGGTTTAGGGTAGCAATGTGACATGTATCATAAAACGCTGCATATGAGAACAGTTTGAGTTCATTAGCCTGCTTGGGAATGGCACAGTACAAGACATCTAGCATTTTGCTCTATCGAAATGCTACACGTAGTTTTAAAAAAAATTCTTAATATGACTTTACACCATTCTGTGAAAGAGGCTCTTGGTTACCTTGTAAGGAAAGGTTTACCAGGTGCATGGCATTGCTGCAAGAGCAACGATACAATGCCTAGAGTAGCGTATATGATATGTACGCATATCTTGGGAAGCATTTCGAGTATGCAGCTACACTCTCACGCTCACTGCTCCTTTTTCTAGCTGCGTGACTCCGTAGACTGCTAGACATAACTAGTGAGTCATTAATATATCCGGACCGATTTTTCGTGCACTTGGAAGTGCATGATGCGGAGTGACTTATCCCAGACGTGCCTATCGTTGCCAATGTTGCCGATTTGTTGTGTTAGCGAGGTAACTTCATATATGTAGCAGCTGGTAATTGTCCAAAAATACCTAATTTGAATTTGCATCAAATAGAGCATATTTCTGGGTTCTTTTGATGTTCTCGTTCGTCTTTGCCATATTTTGTTGGTTATTCATAAGTGCGCTAATTTGTCGAAGTGCAAGCGTATGGCGCTAAAGAACTTGAAAATGTTCTCGCGGTTAAAGTGAGTAAAAGCTCCAAAGAAGGTCATGATTGTGATAATGATTTGAGCTGTACCCTTTGTAACATGGAAGTGTTCTGTCACGGTTGTATCGACACATTTTATTGCATAAATTTCTAAAGGCTCCAGTGACACCCCATACTGAAGATTTTTTTCTTCTTTGAAACACCTTCTCATAGTTCCTGCTATTTTTGGATATCAACGAAAAAGTAAAATGCATCAAAAGTTGTGACATGATCGCTATCTCTTGTAAAATTTCAATGTATACAGGTTGTATGTGCTTAGCTGATCTCTGCTTGGTGTTTATAAAGGTCCAACTTCCTTGTCTCACTTTGTTTCGCAAGCTGCATAGTTGCTGCATTATCGGGACTTTACGGGGCCGCGTGCAGTGCATATCGTAGATTAGTTAAAGTTATAATGCTAGGTAATTTGTGAAGCATTCCTGTGCGTGCTAAAGGCATTACCCTATCATCTCTCTGTCGGTCTGTCTGTCTGTCTGTCTGTCTCTTCCTTGCGTCTGCGTGCTTGCATGATAACCCAGTTAACTTAGGGTAAACCAAAATTAGTACAGTACAGTAAGATGGTGGGATAATTATGACTAGCTGTTCACAAAATGAGACAGTCCTGTCATGCACCTGATGAAACCTCTTCCGCCACACACGTGTGGCTCATACCCATATACGATAGGTCGGTATGTGCCACAGGTATGCGGCGAAATTGCGACTTGGCTTTGTTGGAATATATTCATCTTGAAGTGTTTGCACTCGTTAATGTTCCTTATCTTT